TTATTATTATTATTATTATTATTATCATTTCCACAGCTGCTAACGGAATCCCAGCAGCTAATTTCCCTGTAATGCATATTCAGGTCAGTCCTCAAAGTACAAAAGACAGACATACAAAACCTGCAGTGTCATATCTTTTTGAAGTCGTTTTCATTCTGGCAAAGGAGACTTTTTAACCCACTGTCGACCATTCAGAGAGCAAACTGGATATTATATTACAGTTCTTTAGACTTACATGTTACATTTAAACAAACATTATCATTTTCCATTATCTTTACACAAAAAGTATGGTTTTCCATGAATGCTATAAGCTTAAACGAGCATTACTGTTTTCTTAGAACACTATGACTACACACAGTCTTTACAAAAGGTTAAGGACCTCTTACAAAAGTACACTCAAAATAAAAACCAGGAAATCAAATTATGCCTTCTTTGACACACATTTAATTCATCAATTCATAAGTGCAAAAAAGAAATTTAATCATAATTGAGACCGAAATGCGTAATTCCCAGCGCTCAAAAGGGACCCATCCTCAAAATCGAAAATCACAAAAGAAAGGGTCTCAAAACGTCTCAGCAATATCAAAGAAAAAGACCAGTTTAAGTTCGTGAATGTCAATGGAATTGTCAGAAGTGCATGTGTCCACCATTCACGGCAAGGCAGTCAAGGTATCTTGACAGGGCAGCCGTACCTGCAGGAGATCTTTCGATCTCTGGTCATCACGGCGCTGCAGCAGATTGGGCCTGCTGCTGTCCTTCAGGACGACAACGCCACGCCACACAGGTCCTGGGCGTCAACGCCTTCGTGCTGCAGGCGAGGATTACCCACATGGTTTGGCCAGACAACAGTGCAGACGTCAATCCTATTGAACAGTTGTAGGCTGCGCTTGATCGGAGAGTTCGGGAGAACTACCTTTTGCCCGCCAGCAGCTGCTTGGATGGCAGTAACAAAAATGGGACGGCATTCCCCACTCCTTTCTTTTGTGATTTTCAATTTTGAGGGTAGGTCCCTTTTGAGCGCTGGAAATCATGCTTTTCAGTTTCGATTGCGGTGAAATTTCGTTGTTGCACTCATGGATTGATGAGTTAAATGTATGTCAAAGAATGAATGATATGATTTGCTGGTTTTTATTTTTCGTGCACTTTTGCAAGTGGTCCTTAGCTTTTTGTGAAGACTGTATAAAAGAGTATCATGACCTCGCAGGCTTTCGTATGAGCAATCACCAAAATAAATTCATATCCCCCCCCCCCTCCCCCAATTGGTCCACAATTATTTACTATGCAACACAAGCCTTTTTCACAATGAGGGATTATGTGCAGATCATCATCATCAGAAAAAAAAAAAAAGGACGCAAAAAATAATACACTGAACGTTTAGCTTCTTTAACCGACTCACACATTTATAAGACTTTATAATATCACAAACACAGTTTAACATTTTTCTTTTTCTGCCATGTATGCCACTCCTGGCACACACACACCCTCCCCCATATCCTCCATCCTACTCGCCCATCCTCCACCCTGCTCCTTCTTTCTCTATCCTCCATTCTCCCATCCTCC